CCTTCGGGACAACGGTTCAATAACGTTCAAATAAGATTTTTGGATCCGTTATGAGTCAAATTAAGGTCTTCAAAAGGGCGCTTAGAGGAACCTAACAATGTGAAGTGTTATACCATATCTTATGGTACATGGTCATTAATGACCTTCTCGTCAGATTATGTTCTATTGGTTCTAATACGATTCCCCATGGAGATGACGTAGCCGTAGCTGGTAATCACCTTGAAATTTTACCGAAAAGGCTTGGTAAAGTTTCTTAGATCATTAAAATTCTATCCCAAAGGTTGATAAAAGTTTCTTACATCATTAGGTCATGGAGCATAGACTTAGGTCTTAGTGTCAATCATGGTAAAATAGAACATGTACTGTTTTCTGGAAAGAAGTCGAAGTTGGTACTTTCTCATCGACAGGGTGAGCAGGCCTTTGTTCTTCATACACGCCGGTGGCAATTATTACTTATACATTGTTCTGCCGGTTCATATACAAGTACTTTGCTGAAGTACTCGAGTATTTTGCTCAAGTATCTCTGACCATTGCTGCCCCATTGCATAACTTTCGAGTTGCAAAAACGTACTTTTTCCGTACTTATCCCGTATTATAGACTTCACCGTGCATCAGTCTTTTAATCGACATTCTCTTCGCTTGAATTTGGGTTTAAACCACAGCCACAACGTGCACCTCGAAGGGACCCCTCCAATAACAGGGACAAGACAAAGTCCGAAACTCTGCCCAGGGAGCTATCAGAATATGTGGTTCTCAGCTTCATGTCATCATCACATGACATCACTCCTTTTCCCCGGAATTGCAATAACACCAAGATCTTTCCAGGGTCTTTCATCAAGGTAACATGCCTCCGGGTATAGGTGTTCTCTGGAAAGTAGATATTCTATCTATCTATGACTGAAGACAATGCCTACAAAAGCCAATACGGTGTGTTGAAACTTTATCTAAATCTTATAATGACATTCATTATTGCATTCCGGAACCTTTCATTAATAGCTTTCGCCCTTTTATCACAACGATGTACGAATCTCTTCCCTTTAATGTGAAATGTTTCTGTACTTATATAGATGAATCCAAAACATTAAGCAGGGTTGGAAGTGCAACCTATATTGAAGATTCTGGGACCAAGATCTCTTTTACAATCAACGATGAACTGTAGAATTCTCCAAGCTGCAATATCAGGGATTAAGAGGGCTGAGAATTGGATAAAGTACTAATGGATATCTAAATAATATCAGAAACAGCCAAGCTGAAATTAAATGTCAGATATTTTTGCACATATTCCAGTTTTGTGCTGTTCCTCCCTTAGCCCCAAGTATATATCATATATCGAAAATATGTTTTACGGAAGCTCAAGATCAAAGATCTCTAGGTCTTTATGGCCTAGAAAGGTTATATTCTGATCATTCTTATCTTCTACATCTTATATATCTTATGATTACTGTAGTAGCAGTCCTAGTGAAGATAAGAAAGAACGATAGCACATCTTCTACGCAATTGTTCTGCGCTGGGAATGAATTATGAATGATAACTGGGCAGTGAACATAACTCTGATCTTTCCGATCAATGTAATGTTAAAATGGGACTGATTATACATTAATTCCTTAATCCTAATTTCTATATTCAGATCTTTCTTCTTATTCAATCTACTACTTGATTGATTCATGCCTTCGTTCATACCTGGTTACTATTACCACTCTTATAGGCATTAAGGGACTTTTAAAGACCTATTTGTAGCTCTGACACCTATGTATGTGTTGTAACATCCTGAAGAGCCTAATCTAATGTCTCAATAATAGAAATGTAATGTATTCTTATTTTCAAGTCGATCCAACTTTTAGTAAGTGCACAAAAGGGATTAAATTTAAACCTTTATATTGGAAATTTGTTCTATTAAGAACCCATTAAAATTATTACACTTGTAATTTTGACCCAATTTAAATTTTTAAAGAAAATACCTTGTAATATCAACAAATTTAAAAATAATTTTCATATTCTAAAAATACTTTCGCAGCCGCATACATAAATAACTGAAAATTTCAAATAAAGGTCATTAAATATCCAAAAATAAGAAATCTATAAAAATCGATTTTATTTGAAAAGTTGTTGAAATAAAAATCTCTTATGATTTACTGAGCATTTGTATTAGTGTTCGGGGGAGGATGTTTCTACTAAATTTATTTTATAGATTTTTATTTTTCAAATAACACTTAAATTGTTCAATATGTTTGTTTATGTTATATGAGCGAATATATAAATTTTTGTTAAAATGCAATGACGTCATAAATTTCTTCGAGAAGCATTGAAAAGTCATGTCATGAAGTCAGGAAGAAAATGATGAGTGTTGAAGTGCGCTACTCTAAATGATTGTTCTTAATTGATTGGAGATCTAACTATAGACTAGACTAGACTAGACTATAGACTAGACTATAGACTAGACTGTAGACTAGACTATAGACTAGACTATAGACTAGACTATAGACTAGACTATAGACTAGACTATAGACTAGACTATAGACTAGACTATTGACTAGACTATTGACTAGACTATAGACTAGACTATTGACTAGACTATTGACTAGACTATAGACTAGACTATAGACTGGACTATAGACTAGACTATTGACTAGACTATAGACTGGACTATTGACTAGACTATTGACTAACTACTAGACTATAGCTAACTATAGACTAGACTAGACTATAGACTAGACTATAGACTAGACTATAGACTAGACTATAGACTAGACTATAGACTAGACTATAGACTAGACTATAGACTAGACTATAGACTAGACTATAGACTAGACTATAGACTAGACTATAGACTAGACTATAGACTAGACTATAGACTAGACTATAGACTAGACTATAGACTAGACTATAGACTAGACTATAGACTAGACTATAGACTAGACTATAGACTAGACTATAGACTAGACTATAGACTAGACTATAGACTAGACTATAGACTAGACTATAGACTAGACTATAGACTAGACTATAGACTAGACTATAGACTAGACTATAGACTAGACTATAGACTAGACTATAGACTAGACTATAGACTAGACTATAGACTAGACTATAGACTAGACTATAGACTAGACTATAGACTAGACTATAGACTAGACTATAGTATAGACTAGACTATAGACTAGACTATAGACTAGACTATAGACTATAGACTAGACTATAGACTAGACTATAGACTAGACTATAGACTAGACTATAGACTAGACTATAGACTAGACTATAGACTAGACTATACTAGACTAGACTACTATAGACTAGACTATAGACTACTATAGACTAGACTATAGACTAGACTATAGACTAGACTATAGACTAGGCTATAGACTAGACTATAGACTAGACTATAGACTAGGCTATAGACTAGACTATAGACTAGGCTATAGACTAGACTATAGACTAGACTATAGACTAGACTATTGACTAAAACGTTTCGCTCTATCAAATCAAACTGACAAGTCCATTAAATTGATTGTAGAGTGTAATAAACAATATTCCTGCAACATTTAGCAAAAAGATCCACAAACCGAAAGATATATAAACCATGAAGACAATTATGAAAATAAACATTGGCCATAAAGAAAACAAGTAAGTGAATATGCTGCATCAAAGATTCAAAAAAATCCGAAACAAAAAATATCGGTGAAAAAAAAATAAATAAAAATGATAAAGAGAATTTCCCGAAACAGAACAAAAGACTGAAAGAAAAAACAATTTTTGCAACAACAAAAAAAATAAAGAAAAAATCCCACAAATTGCACATTTAAAGTTGACTGCTGGCATCACCTTCATGATGAACACAATTTTTGTGTGTGTGAGTGTTTTTTTTTTTTTTTTTTTTTTTTGAACAAAATATTTTGATTTATCCGAACATTCGAAAATAATTAACAAGTGATTAGTGGATGTTTTGTTTTTGCATGTGAAATGGAAATACGTAAGGAGAAGACTTCCCGCAGTTCATTTAATTTAGTGCATTTTTTTCGTTTGTTATACCCTACACCACTTTAGTGGGGAGGGTATATTGGATTTGTGCTGATGTTTGTAACATACAAAAATATTCGTCCTAGACCCACCTTAAAGTATACCAATCGGCTTTTCTGAGTCGATTAAGCTATGTCCGTCCGTCCGTCTGGCTGGCTGGCTGTCCATGTAAACCTTGTGCGCAAGGTACAGGTCGCAATTTTCAAGAAAATTGGATGAAATTTGGCACGCACGTTTAATTTGACCCAAGGACGAAGCCTTTTGAAAATGGTTAAAATCGGTCCATTATTTCACCTAGCCCCCATGGAACAGAACCCCCCGAAAAGGGCTTCTGAGCTCATAATTATGCTAAATATACAGATATATCGATAAAATACGGCACAACTAACTTTTATTGAAGTCTTGATGACCCTGCCAAATTTCATAAAGATTGTTACGATTTTCTTGTCATAAACAATCTTTTTATTTGTTGAATTTTAGTATTTTTTTTTAGAAAAACACAAAATTTCATTAAGGGTTCCTTCCCACACTTCTTTTAAATTAACAAGTAAAACAGCTACATATTTCTTTTATTTACACTCATATTTATGAGTATAAATATACACATGATGTGTTGTGGGTTAATCTCTTTAAATTTTTTCTTCGTTAATAAATGTAATGATCTCTTTATTTCTTACTGTTCACTGATAAAGAGTTAGCATTTTTTACAACCACACTCTTAACATATTAATGGATTTGGTTGTTGTTGTAAATTTTAATTTTTTTTAACAACGAAGAGCACCAGTTTTTTTTACTTTTCTTTGCTGTTGATGCAAAAGTCACTCATTGAGAGTAGATCTTTTGATTTAGTTTTTTTTTTTTGCTTACTTTTTTTTACATATGTATTTATTTCTTTTTTTTTTCTCCTTGTTGTCAACTAACTATGCATTCATGTGTAGTTCTATTTCATTTAGGTTAATGCAAAAATATTTAGGCAATATTTCATTACCATTCATTCCTTTTTTTTTACATATGTATGTTTTTTTTTGCAAAAATTTTAACGGGATATTCTTGAAGATTTGCTTCTAGAATTTGACAATTTTTGTAACCAAGTCATTATTGAAGTGAACGTTGAAAATAAAACATCAAATACGGAAAAGTAAGCTAAATAAAGTAAAATTGGAAAAAGTTGAATTTAAAAGAAAAAAAAAAAAAAATTTCAATAGGGAAAAGGATAGTGAGACAATTTAATAGCCCAGGTGTCCTTGGAGCGAATTATTATTTAAGAATTTTCTTTAAGGAAACTTAATAGTACGAGGTAAGACCTGTTGTTAGGGAACCTTTTGTATTTTGTCCTCTCAATGTGATTTTTTCTATAGGAAAAAATTTCAAGTGTGATTCCTGGGTGTCGGCAGATATTGTGAGGACTATTAACAGTTCCATTGAAGGACTGCGGAAAGAGTCTCCAGTTTTTGGATATATGAGTGCACACGTGGTCCACTCGTCACGTCTACCCAAATTTTAAGGAGGTATTGTTAAACCTCATGGTTATTAGCCCACGTGGTCCTCTTGTCACGCCAACCCACATGGACCTACTGTCACCCATACCCTGGTGTCAAAGAGGTTGTTGGAAGCCTCAGTCGTTTTAGCCCACGTAGTCCTGTCACGCCAACCCACGTGGACCAACCGCCACCCTTACCCGAGTGCCAAATAGGTTGTTTGAAACCTCATTTGTTTTATCACACGTGGTCCTACTTCCAAATTTTGCCACGTGCCAAGAAGATTTGTGAAACCTTGGATTATAAACACACGTGGTGAGAACATAACTATAACCACGTGTCACCAATCATCTAATCGGATAAGTAAAACGAAAATCAAAATTTTTAAGTGACCAAAAAAAAAAAAAAAGAAAAAAACAATAATTCGACGGTTCTAGTAAATTAATTTACATAAGGAAAGATATTTTGATCTAAGTGACTCGATATAATACAAATTAGAATACCTAAAATTAAGTACATAATATTCTCGGAATTGACGATTTTTTTTTAAATCTATTAAAATTAGTTATTCTGAAATAACAGCAAAAGGAAGAAAAAATCTATTGGAAATTATGTTTTAATATTAAATTTGCAGAAATAGAAGAATCGAATATTTTGCTAATATCAATTATAATCAATAGTCTAATCCAAAATAATCGCAATTTTCATAATACTAAATCCATAATCAAATTTCAGAAATTATAAAATTCAAAATTAAAATCCTTTTTTTTTA